GGGGGTTGTTAACGTATAATTGTAAAAAGTAACGTTGTCTCTCTAACATCTTAAGCTTTTAGACAATTGGATTGACAAATATATAACTTATGAGCATAAAAAATGCAGAGAAATTACTATTTTCTAAACATCATAAGCATCCAAACACATTATCCAACAATAGATTCTGTTTCAATACAGAACATGCAAGCCTGGTTTTCTGATAAAAAGCTCAGATATATACTGAGATAGAATTTTTCGCTCTGTGTGGTCTCCAGCCGAAACTGTGTATACTAAATCCCAGAAAATTTCATCTTAAAGGAAATCCGACAGTGGATCATAAAAGGAGAGTAAATATGGAACAAGACACCAAAAATAAATCAGTCTGCAGTGGGAAGCCAAATATAGTTGATGGACCAAAAGAGTTCAATGAATAGGACATTGTTTCCAAGTTCCTGGGAACTATTTAGTGCAGTAATAACTAATATTTGATTTAATTATCATCAACAAAAGAAGGCATTGAATAGACATCAACATTGTCAGCAACTCAGCCGAGAAAAAAGACGATAGATGGCAGAAGGCGAGTTCGCTGTGCTATTCAAGGAATGGAAGATGCTTATATGACTCGAGCTTTAACTTAGCAAAGGTTAGAGGATTGGGAGGCCACTGATCCCACTGCAATATTTATCTTCCATGTACTCTATCGAATTTATAAAACCAGTCCAAGAAATTTCCAGTACCTTCTTCAAGCCCTTTGAAATTGCGAGATCAAATCATTAAACTTTCGTTAAATGAAGTCAAATTTCATTAAAAGAAAGAAGTATAAAAGATCACACAAGGGGAAAAATCGACACCTATCCAAACTATGTGAAAGATCCATATGCTTTCCATACCAGAGGACGTAGTTGAACCCTATTAACAATGCCTAAACTTATTAAGTAGTGTTTCCTAGTTTCTTCAAATTCTACTCCTCCTTAGTCCTTGCACTTCAACTAATTGTGTCTACCTGGAGCGATGTCGTTTTCATTTCAAAATTTTGATCTGCTAACCCAACCTATTCTGTTTTCCTCCACAAAAAAAATTTTAAGGACAAATATAGACCTTAAACCGCAATTTAGTTAGTCACTGTTTTTCTCATCAAACTGATCTGTCCCTAAACAGTTAAAAAGGCTAACTCTTCCCTCCAAGAACCTACAACCTACTTGATTGAAGATTCATAGGTCCAGAAACACCCCCCAAAGTAATAAAATGAAAACAATAAGTGATTAGTTGTACATGAATTCTGGCAGTAGACAGAGTGAAGAGAGACAGAGAGAGAAAACCGAATAATCAAATTTTGGTTGACAGAATACATGAATTTGACAAACCACTATTAGTACAGAGAGCTAGAAAATTTTGTATGCTGACCAACTAAAGTCCCATGGTACTTTATTTATCAGTTATTATCATTTGCTACTGCTTCCATTACAAATCTCATCGAAGATATAGCTTTATCATTGGATGACAGACAGCGACCTGTTACTACTCCACTGTAATTGAATCAATTAAAAAAAAAACGAAACAAAGAAAAGGAAAAAAAAGTCAGGAACCACAAAGTGAAAAGCAAGAAAGTATACCTCTCTATCGAGTAGGATAAGAGTATTTATTTCTGGAATTCCCATCTGTGGTAGAAAACATAATAAGAAGTGACATCAAAAATTCAAAAATCCAATGAGATTCTGTGTCTTTAGTGATAAATATTACATCTGAAGTAACAGGTTCTTCAGCTTGCATTCGGTTTAAAATGTCAGCAACGCGTGTAGATGCTTTTCCTTTGGCCCTCACATTTGGTATCGTCCCAAAAGAAAACTACATCATCCACCAACTAGAACCATCAAGATAAAGAAAAGGGAAGAAAAGAGAAAATAACAAAGACTGGAAGACCAGCAATATAATTATATTCCTGACTCCTGATCGTACATATATACTATAATAAATGGCAATGACATTGGAAGAAACTCAAAAATAAAAAAATAAAAAAATAAAAAATAAAAAAAAATAAAAATAGAAAGTTTCTAACAAGATCATGGCTGAAAATGATCCTATACCTCAAGCTTGTGAATGGATTTTGCTATATGCCACAGAGAGGTAGTATCTCCATTGACCGCGCATTCCTGTAAGAAAAATCTTCCTACATTAGATACAACTATCTTAAGAACGTAAAATTTACTGCTTTCCTTAGACAACATATTGAGCCAACATACTTTATAAGCAAGGTCGAGTTCAAACGATAATACATCCTCGTCCAGTGGAATCAAATACAACGGATACTCCCCAACAGTCAACATCTCGTGGACTTTTTCGTCCTCGAGTATCTGCAGACAACCAAAACAATACAAGCTTTTAAACTCTAAATAGCAAATTATTTCTTGCAGTCTGCAATTGTAGTGCAACATGAATCCTCACCTTCTCGCATGCAACTGCACGTCGAGGAACAAAGTAAAGAAAATACTCTCTTTGAAGCCCTTTTGACGTATCATTGTGAATTTGTGAACAAATGAATTTCATCAAGTTGAGCTGAGCTCGAACAAGGAACACCATTTTGGTGCAGTCAGTCTCGACTGGCTCGGCTGTGAGATGCCGCAATTCAGCCCCATGTTCCTGATCATAAGAAACATAATCCCTTTATAATTGCATCAGCAATAGTGCCCAAATTAGCAACAGCGGCATCTATAGTACTAATGGTACTAATTAAGTTATGAAAAGCTTCATCTCTTGTTTGCTTCAGTAGATTATTTTTTCTTCTCAGCATCAGTAATTAAATAAAATTATAGAAGTCGCGAGAAAACAAATTACAGGATTTTCTGATTTTCACAAGCAAGAAGAGAACTACCCCATTTAAAATTCCCACCTTCAGAGTTTGAACTACAGATCCTACAGAAATTGTGACAGGAACACCATCCAATCTACAACCTTTTTTACTCTACTATTTTAGAAAATGCAACAAATAGAGATTAAGTAAAATCGAACAAATATGATAACAGAGAATGGAAGAAATTACTTTCAGTTGTGAACTTTGGACAATGAGTGAGAGCGATCCACTAAGTTTCGGATCAATCACCAAACATTTCTTTCCCCGAATCTGTAAAGAAACCCAATTAAAATTTGAAAAATAACGAGTATATTAATATATTACCAGAAAATCATTAAGAACGTGAAAATAAACAATTAAACTCACATTTTTCAATGTATTTATCAGCTCCTTTTGAGATTGATCTCTAAATTTCAAGAATAACAAAACAAATTATTTGCTGAAGTAAGACAGTCAATTTGCTGTAGAATTTTTACTTAAATTCATAAAATTTACCGTGTGGTAGTGAGATTGATAGGTGCGTTGTCTAAATTAGGGACCTGTGCCATTTTGCTTCCTCCCGCTCTCTGAAGTCTCTTCTTTCCTGGTGATTATTTTGTTCGATGAATGTCAATTTCTCCTGGGAGATTTTTCTATTTGCCTATCACTAATTCTTTTCTATATCACCCCTTAATCAAATCATTCTTTCTATATTGTAATATATATTCTAATTTCTAAAATATTTCATCTTCTACTTTAAAATATTTGAATATAAATTTATTCTATAATCTAATAAATAAAAATAATGTGCAACATATATTTCATATTTTCTAATTAAAATATTATATTTTTCGAATGATAAATTTATATTTTCTAATTGAAAGATAATATTTTTTATTTTTCTAACATTTTTTCTAATAGATTATCTAATACTTCAATTGTATATCCTGACATTTATTTATAATCATCAATTAATTCCTACGATTCTTTAATATATTAAAAAAATTCATTTTAATTTTAGCAAAAATTTAATAGTTTTACCTTAAGTTTGATCTGAACTTTTATTTTTAGAATCGAGTGAACTTCAAACTCTGAATCTGTAATCTGCTTCCTTCAACAGCCTCCTGATTCACGATATTGTTATTATTTCAACTATTTGCTCTCACTGTATCAATTTCTAAAGAATAAAATTCTAAACTTCTGTTAAATAAAAACTTTCTTTTTGCTAAAATAGCAGGAAACTTTTTATTAGATTTTTAAAGAATCTATGGGAATAAAAATTTAGAAACTCATATTTATATCAAAATATCGAAATTTTATTTTTATCAGGATTTATACAAGACTTCTATTTAGTACAAAGAGATTTCCAGAAAAACTGATTTTTCAAACTAGGAATGTGTTTTTGAGTAACTATTGCTTACAACTCGAAATTTCAAGATAAGATGAGATAATATTTCTCTATGACAATGTCTCTATTTATACAAGTTTATGAGACTCTATTACATCATTGAGTACATCAGCAAGGCACACTTGCCTCTCTATTATTTTCCTCCTTGGGCATACATCTTCACATATTGCTTCAACTTTTTATCCAAAGAACATCTTTTTCTATTATTGTTCTTTATCTTCAATGTCCTCATATGTAGCTGTATTGTTGTTCTCCATACATTTTTGTCAAATGTACTTTATTATTGTTCTCTTCCTTCATTTCTTCACAAGCAGCTGGGATACTCCCTTAGCTGGCAGGATTCTTTTATAGTGATAGGACATCCCGAAAATTGATGTATATCGAATCTTGTAATATAATCTTTTAAAATTTCTGATTTTCTATAATCAACATCCAATTTTCATATTGACACAAGTACGAGATCTTTGTATCAAACAAATTTTTGGCAACGTTGTAAATGGCTTTAATTCCAAGTGCTCTTCTATGCCTGATCCATGATTTTGTCACCATCGAAACTTTTTCTATTATTTTCTGTAACATCAATTTGGAAATTGGCTGCAACATATCAAATTGAAATTATGTGTTCAACTGGATAATAAACAACTCCATCATAATCTAGACTTATTGAATAGAATTTTAAATATATTTTCCTTGACAAATTTGGAAACTTTTTTAATGAATATGTTATCAAACTTTGAAATTTCAATCAAATCTTCTCTTGTATATATTAAATCCTTGAATCCATAGTCTACCGTAATTTTTATAAATGAAGGGTATCCTCCTTCCATAGCTGTTATTTTGGGATAAACATTATTTCCCGAAGAAATGAAATATGAATCACTCATTTTTATTTCATAAATAATTTTGACTATTTCGACATATTTTTCTTCTTTTGGATCTAAAGGGATTTTATCTTCTTGGTCTATGATGCTAATTATTTTGGTATCTCTTTTATCTCCATGTATCATAACTTTTTTGGTTGAAATGGAATTTCCTTTATTATCAGTTGGTATATTGTAACATTTGGGTCCACTGCTGTTTCCAGCTGTCTCTGTTTGGTATTGATTTGGAAAACTTATTTCTTAACTCTTTGGCATATCTGTCTCAAACTATCTTTTAGTTGTACTGCAATAGCATCAATTTGATTTTTGAGTTCTATAGCATATTTATGATGCTCAGTAGTGATATTCAACAGTATTTTTATGTTTGAATTGAACATCTCTGAGATATGGGTTGCTTCAGAGTTTAAATTTTCGGAACCTTCTTTAAGAAAATCTGTCCTTTTTTGTATACGTAGGAGGGATTGGTATAATTCCATGACATTGGCTCTATCCATCAGCAAATTCTATATTTCTGATAAGAAAATCTGCAAGAAAATTATTAACTCCTTTAATATGGATTATATCAAAATTATAAAATGCTAAATAAGCTTGCTATTTATGGAGCCTTCTGTATTGAGGTTCTGATAGTAACTTATTCCTCANTTTATTTAGATATGTTTTTAATATTGTTGCCCAATATTTATCTGAGGCATCAGTATTAACGATCAAATTATATTATTCATCTGGTAATCTTAATTTTGGTAAATTTTTATATTCTTCTTTTAATAATTTAACTATTTCTGCATGTTTTTCATTCCATCCTTTAACATTTGTTTTTCTAAGTAAAATTTGAATTTTATGTCTTTTCTTAAAAAGATTTTTAATAAATTTTTCTGTATAGTTTAAACATCTTGAGAATTTTGTATTTGTTTTTTGGATTCTAATTTATCAGGAAAACTTTATATCTTTTTGGATATATGAGTCTGTAATTTTATCCATCTTTTATCAATTGATAATCCAAGAAAGTCTATCTCTTATTTTTCTATTATAATTTTTTTTTAAATAGTATAATTCCTTCTTTTTTACATTATCTATTAAATTGGATTAAATGATTTATATGTTCTTCTTTACTATTAGAATATATTAATTTATCATTTATATAAACAATTAGAAACTCATTAAACTTTTTAAATACATTATCCATTTTTTTTATATATTTACGGTGCGTTTTTTAGACCAAATGACATAACTAACCATTCATATTTTTCTTGAGATGTGCTAAATGCAGTATATTATATACCATCTTCTTCCATTTTTATTTGCCAAAATCTTAATTTACAATCAAATTTAGAATAATATTATTTTCCTCTTGCAAGATTTATTAAACTTCTTTATTTGGTAGAAAGTAACCATCAAATTTAATATATTTGTTTAATTCTTTATAATTTATAATCATCCTAACATTTTCTCTAACTTGTTCAGAATGATTCATAGCCATAAAGGTTGGACTACTATGAGGTCCACTACTAGGTCTAATAAGTTTTTGTTCTGACAAATCTTTTATCTAATTTTTAAATTCTTGTGTATATTCTATAGTATACATAATTGGTCTAACTCTTATTACAACATTTTCTGTTAATTCTATTTTGGCTTTTGGGTGATGTGATTTTCAAAATAATAATGAATTTTCTCCATAAACATTTTCTAGTTGTTTAATAATTTTTTCTACATTCATTTCTATTCCTGTTTTTAGAACATTTTTATATAATATTATTTTATTATTTTTTATTTCAATATAAATAATTGATTTTTTCTCCCATTTATCATCTCGTTGGGTTGGTTGAACTCTATAAGATTTAAATTCTCCAAGAATTTTTAATAAGTGTCTACAAGGTGTTTGTAACATTATCATATAATTGTTTTGTTTATAATATCAAAATTATTGTATGAAGTCATTTCCTAATAATATATCACATTCTAATTTATCATGTTTATAAATTTTATTTATTTTTACTTGTTTACTTCCAAAAATTATATTAACCTTATCAGCACTATTAATTATTTGAGTACTTTCTCCGATAACTCCAATTATTTTTATATTACTATTATTATTCCAAAATTTTATTAAAGAACTTTTAAATATTGTTATATCACTTCATGTATCTAATAAATCACAAATTGTTATATTTGTTTCTACAATAGTAATTTGTATATACACAACTAATGAATAACTTATTTGATTATTCATCTAATTCTTTTTACATAATGTAGTCTGTCCATTATAAACAATATATAATCATTCACTTTTTATACTATAATCTTCTCATCCATTTAAAAAATTCATTCCTAAAAGTATATGAGAATTTATATCCATGCTCTTATTTATGTAATATGGTATTAAAAGATCTATTCCTCCTATTTTTATTGGTACTTTAAACTTCTAAATCTGTAATATGTACTCTTCCATCAAAATTTACATATTTATATAACTCAGTTTTATCAGCCATTAGACTTTTATTTCTAATTGAAGTTATATGTCATTCACTAACTCCTGTATTTATTAATATATTTGGTTCATTTATATTTTCTCTTCCGTTATAATATTTTCCTTCTATGAACAATATATAATCTTTCTCTTTTTATATTATAATTTTCTAATCCATTTAAAAAACTCATTCCTAAAAGTATATGGGAATTTATATCCATACTCTTATATATGTAATATGGTACTAAAAAATCTATTTCTCATATTTTTATTGGTACCTTAACTTCTAAATCTGTAATATGTACTTGTCCATCAAAATTTACATATTTATATGGCTCAGTTTTATGAGTCATTAGACTTTTATTTCTAATTGAAGTTATATGACATTCACTAGCTCTTGTATTTATTAATATATTTGGTTCATTTATATTTTCTCTTCCGTTATAATATTTTCCTTCTATTTTCATATTTCCAGTATTCCTATATAGTTTTACTTCTTTTATTTTGTTGATTTCTTCTAACTGATTTTTATTAGGTATTTTAAAACTTTTAAATTTTTTAATTAATTTTTCATCCTTAAATATAATATTATTAGAACATTTTCCTTCATTTAATTCTGTTATTTAATGTTTATTTTTTGTTATACTAAATTTATATTCTTCTGAAATTAAACTTATTTGTTTATTTGTTTATATTATTTTACTAATATCTTTACATCCTTTATGAACTTCAATATATGGTTTATTGGAATAAATATTCTCATAATTAGAATTATTAAATGTATATAAAACTTTATTTTCTATAGTTATAATTTGATCACCTGGTTGCATGATATAATCTCTATGAAATTTAAAATGTACTCCTAAAACTTCATTAAAATTTATATTTTTAATGATACGCAATATTTTGGATAACATGTAAACATAATTTTTTGATATGTTAAATTTCCT